AGTCCACATTGATACCATTGGGCTGCAGGGTTCCCAAGCGGACTATGAGTTGCTGTTCCTGCAACCTTCGCGTGGCATCATTGTGGCACTGCAGGAGGCCCAGGATGGACATGTCGTCTGAGGAATGGGAGGGGGAGTTGAAATGGTTCGCGACTGGGAGGTGGAGTTGTTTAGGGCGAACCGAGCGTAGGTGTTGTGCAAAGCAGTCCCCAAGCCTCTGCTTGGTTTCCCCGATGTAGAGGAGGCCACAACGGGAACAGCGGATGCAGTATACCACATTAACAGATGTGAAGGTGAACATCTGCTTGATGTGGAAAGTCTTCTTGGGGCCTGGGATGAGGGTGAGGGGGGAGGTGTAGGGGCAGGTGTAGCACTTCCTGCGGTTGCAGGGAAAAGTGCCGGGTGTGGTGGAGCTGGAGGGGAGTGTGGAGCGGACAAGGGAATCCCGGAGAGAGTGGTCCCTCCGGAAAGCAGATAAGGGTAGGGAGGGAAAAATGTCTTTGGTAGTGGGGTCGGATTGCGGATGGCGGAAGGGTCGGAGGATGATGCGTTGGATCCGGAGGTTGGTGGGGTGGTACGTGAGGACGAGAGGGATTCTGTTTTGGTTGTTATTGCAGGGAGGGGGTTTGAGGGCTGAGTTGCGGGAAATGCGGGAGACACGGTCGAGGGCGTTCTCGACCACTGAGGGGGGGATGTTTGGTTTTATGCAGAAGGTAGATTGGAGGAGGAAGTAAGGAATAAATGATAGGTGAAGATAAAGCTCAAAGAGATAGAAAAACTGTTGGACAAAGGAGTGGATAATGATCAGCCTGGGAGAATTAATAGCTGCTAATGGGGAGGATTCGTGGCAAATAATGGGTTGTTTGTAACAGCAGACCATGTGATAACAAGGCCTGGCGTGTGTGGGGGTGGGGTAAGGATGTGAGAGAAGGTGTGTCCAAGCCCTAAAATTGTAGAATTCGATTTTGATTCCAGAAGACTGTAGTATTCCCAAGCAGAAAATGAGGTGCTGTTCTTTCAGCTTGTGCTGAGCTTTGCTGGAGCACTGCAGCAAACCTGAGACAGAGATGTTGGCCAAGGAACAAAGTGGTTTGTTGAAGTGGCTGACAACTGGAAGCTCAGGGTTTTTTTTCACTCAGAACGTGGGCGTTCTGCAAAGCAGTCACCCAGTCTAGGCTTTGTTTGCCCAGTGTAGAAGAGACCACGTTGTGAGCAGCGAATGTAGTAGACTAGACTATGTGACGTGCAGGTAAAGCGTTGCTTCACCTGGAAGGTGTGTTAGGCCCTTGGATACTGAGGAGGAAGTAAACAGGTAGGTGTTACATCCTCTGGGGTTGCAGGAGAGGGTGCCATGGGGCAGGCTGGAAGAACAGCATCTCATTTTCTGCTTGGGAGCTCGACATTCGAACAAAGAACAAAGAAAATTACAGCACAGGAACAGGCCCTTCGGCCCTTCAAGCCTGCGCCGATCCAGATCCTCTATCTAAACCTGTCACCTATTTTCCAAGGATCTGTATCCCTCTGCTCCCTGCCCATTCATGTTTCTGTCTGGATACATCTTAAATGACGCTATCATGCCCACTTCTACCACCTCTGCTGGCAACGCTTTCCAGGCACCCACCACCCTCTGCGTAAAGAACTTTCCACAGTTCTCCCTTAGACTTTTCCCCTCTCACCTTGAAATCATGACCCCTAGTAACTGAGTCCCCCACTCTGGCAAAATGCTTCTTGCTATCCACCCTCATGATTTTGTAGACCTGAATCAGGTCCCCCCTCAACTTCTGTCTTTCTAATGTAAATAATCCTAATCTACTCAACCTCTCTTCATCGCATTAGATTTCACATTAATATGACAATTACAACTCAACGCCCCAAGACCAGCACATTTTTGGAAATCTTTTCCTGATTCACATATTCCAAATATTTAGACATTGGATCTCTCACGCTCTTGTGACATGGTAATTCTTAGTTAATATTTATTTATTATGTTTACAATTAACCCAAATTTTGTAAATTTTTTTGCTTGTTTCATAATAGTAGACCATTTCATTGTTTATGTGCTTTCCTGTGAATCCTTAAATAGTCTCCTACATATGTAAATAGTAATGTTTGTTGATGCAAAATTTGCAATGGATGGGTGCCTAGGCTGTGTTCAGTATAAAGTAGTTGGATCCAGGTTTGTAGGGCACTCATTTCGTGTTAGCTGCCCAGAATCTGACTTCATTGAGTGAAATTTTAAACTGTGTTACTGAATTTACATCTTGAAGACAAACATTTGGCCTAAGTTGTTTATGTTATTATTTATGCTTGAGCCTCCTACAGCCTTATTTCATCTAATTCTAATAGCATATCCTTCAAACTCTTTTTCCCACATGCACTAATTTGCTTCCCCTTAACTGAATCCAAGTTATTTATTTCAACGCCTTCATGTGATGGCATGTTGCACGCTTTAACCATTCTCCAGTAAAAATGATTCCGCTGAGTTCTTTACTGGATTTGTTAGTGATTATTATGTACGTGACCCTTGGTCTTGGACAATCTCGCAAGTGGAATCAGCGTCTGTACATGGAATATACTGTCGAATTCCATCACCATTTTAATGACTTCTCTAAACTTAACCCTCAAACTTCTCTTTTCTGGAGCAAACTGCACAAACCTGTAGTCTTCCCAAATAATTAGAAACTTTCAGGTGAGTATCATCCCTGTAAATTGTTAGAATTAGAAAGAGGCTCATGAAGGTGGAGTCACAAGTAGACAGGATAATGAAGAAGGCATTTGCTATGCTTGGCTTTATCGGTCAGTGCATTGTGTATAGGAGTTGGGATGTCATGTTCTGGCTGTACAGGACATTGGTTAGGCCACTTTTGGAATACTACCTTCAATTCTGGTCTTCCTGTTATAGGAAAGGGTGTAGAAATGATTTACAAGGATGTATCCAGGACTGGAGGGTTTGAGGTATCGGGAGAGGCTGAATAGGCTGGGGCATTTTTCCCAAAAGCTTTGGAGGTTGAGGGGTGACATATAGAGATTTATAAAATCATGAAGGGTATGCATAGGGTGAATAGCAGAGGTCTTTTTCCCAGGGTAGGGGAGTCCAAAATTAGAGGGCACAGGTTTATGATAAGAGGGGAAATATTTAACAGGGACCTAAGGTGTAACTTTTTCACGCAGAGGATGGTGCATGTATGAAATGAGCTGCCAAAGGAAGTGGTGGAGGCTAGTACACTTACAATATTTAAAAGGCATCTGGAAGGGTTTAGAGTAATTTTTTTCCCTTTATTCATTCATGGGATGAGGACATCTCTGGCTCGGCAGCATTTATTGCCCATCCCTAATTGCCCAGAGGGCTATTAAGAGTCAAACACACTGCTGTGGGTCTGGAGTCGCATGTAGGCCAGACCAGCTAAGGATGGCAGTTTCCTTCCCTAAAGGACATTAGTGAACCAGATGGGTTTTTGCAACAATCGAAAATGGATTCATGTCATCGTTAGACTCTTAGTTCCAGATATTTTATTGAATTCCAATTCCACCATCTGCCATGGCAAGATGCAAACCCAGGTCCCCAGAACATTATCTGAGTCTCTGGATTAACAGTCCAGCAATAATACCACTAGACCATTGCCTCACCAAATGCTGATAAATGGGATTAGATTAATTTACGATATCTGGTTGGCTTGGATGAGTTGGACAGAAGGGTCCGTTTCTATGTTGTACAATTTTATAGATGTACAGCACATAAACAGACCTTTTGGTCAAACTTGTCCTTGCCAACCAGATATTCCAAATTAATCTAGTCCCACTTGCCAGCATTTGACCCATATCCCTCTAAACCATTCCTATTTATATACCCAACCAGATGCCTTTTAAATGTTAAAATTGTACCAGCCTCCACCACTTCCACTGGCAGCTCATTCCGTACACATACTACCCTCTGCGTGAAAAAAATGCCCCTTAGCTCCTATTAGGGTTAACTTCTCCGTTGCCTTTGTATCCTATTTTGATTTATGGCCTAGACAAGATTCTTTAATTACTTTACTTCCAAAGTTCATCAATTCTCTTTATCTCGAGGAATTTTACATTACTTCCCAAAATGTTACTTTGACTTTGTTGATACTGACATGTCCTAAAACTAAAATGTCAAATTTACACATGATCAGCATGTGAACAGAGTTACACCAGGGCAATAGTGGCTAATGATAATGTGCTATTGTGGTGTTGTGGTAATGCCCCTACCTCTGAGCCAGGATATCAGATGTGTATAATAACATTTCTGAACAGATTGATTAGAAAATATCTATGAGTAAAGGCTGAAATCAAACAGCCACGACTGATATGATTGTAATATCACAGACCATAAGACTTCACAAGTATTGTTCCATATGAAATGTTATTAAATCTACAGGCAGAGGTTTTCTGATCACAAATACAAATCACATTAGCTAGTTAGGCATAGTTACTAAGACTATGAGATTGACACATTTGACTTAATCAGGATCTAAAGCCGGACTCTCCAATTCCCCACCCAGTGCTGTGTGACATTAGCAGATCAGGGAGAGTCTAACGTAATCGTCAAAATCAGCCCTTTCAGAACCATTATTTATACAAACTGATAAAATGATTTACATAAAAGAGAAAGAAAGTTTCATTTGTTTCCATTGCCTTTTAAATTTAATCTTATTGTCAATTGATATCCAGAAGTACTGCATTATTTTCCTTCCCTTCCCTCTCCTGGGTCAAGCTCCATGTTTTATCTCATCTCTGCTTAAACTGTGCAATCACTGCCTTCTCTGAGTTGTGAAAAATGAACCCAGGTGACATTCAGTATCCACCGCGAAACTTGCTACGTGAAGTTTCAAGAGCATTCAACTTAATTGATGGAAGTGTTATAAATGAACAGAAACTAATCTTTCTGTCAGAGTGGCAATAGTAGACAGTGGAATAAATTTAAGAAATAAATCACAATTACCGTTGTTGTTGACCTGGTTTTTCTCTTTTGACAGGATCAGAACTTCTTGGAAAATCCATTCGAATTACGTACTGCACACTGGGAATTGGCATTTCTTATGCATTCGGTTATATGTTCTTGCCTTTGGTTGCATACTTCATACGAAGCTGGCAGCTTTTGCTTTTTACGCTGTCTCTTGTTGGCCTGATATACATTCCTTTGTGGTGGTAAGTAAGTATTAGAAACTTCACTTATTTAATTAATAGAGTCATAACAGTAGAGTCATACAGCACAGAAACTGACCAGTCAGTCCAACCAGTCCATGCCAAACATAATCCCAAACTAAACCAGTCCCACCTGCCTGCGCTTGGCCCATATTCCTCCAAACCTTTCTCAATCATGTACTTATCTAAATGTCTTTTAAACATTGTAGCTGTACCTGCTTTGCTTTCTCTGGAAGTTCATTCTACACATGAGCCACTTTCTGTGTAAAAACATTGCCCCTCATGTCTTTTTTAAATCTTTCTCCTCTCACCTTAAAAATGTGCTGCCTTGTCTTGAAATCCCCCCCAACATGGGGAAAAGACACTTCTCATTAACCTTATCCATACCCCTTCTGATCTTATAAACCTCTATAAGGTCACCCCATAACCTCCTACGCTCCAGTGAAAAAAGTCCCATCCTATTCAGCCTCTTCTTATATCTCAAACCTTCTGTTCCCAGCAACATCCTGGTAAATCTCTTCTGAACTCTCCCCAGCCTAATAATATCCTTTCTGTAACAGGGCAACCAGAACTGGACACAGTAATCCAGAAGGGGTCTCACCAATGTCCTGTATAAGCTCAACATAATGGCTCAAATCCTATACTCCTACAAACCTGCACCCAAAGGTCTCCTTGTTCAGCAACCGGGACCCTACCATTATGTGTGTAAGTCCTGCTGTGATTTGCCTTACCAAAATGCAACATCTTGCGTTTATCTAAATTAAACTCCATCTGTCACTCCTCGGCCCATTTGCCCATTTAATCAAGGTCTCATTGTATTCTGAGGTAACATTCCTTACTGTCCACTACACCACCAATGTTGGTGTCATCAGAAAACTTACTAACCAGTCCTGTTACATTTATATCCAAATCGTTTATATAAATGGCAAAAAGCAGTAGGCCCAGCATGGATTATTGCAGTACACTGCAGGTCACATGCCTCCAGTCCAAAAAGCAACCCTCCACCACCACCCTCTGTCTCCTACCTTCAAGTTGGACCAAAGGGTCTTTTTCCATGCTGTACAATTCTATGAATCTATGATTGTATGCTCGACTTGAGCCCAAGCATGATCCTGAGGCAAAGAAATGTCTATCACAGTTTGGAACTTCAATAAGCAGGAAATTAGCTTCTTAATAACTATCAGACACCAAGCACACGTGGTCTGCAGTGTAAATCTACGTATGTGGACATTATAAGTAAGCCACATCACAGAGGTAACATTGACATGGTTTGCAATTCAAATTTGAGAAGGAACCTTAAGGTTTTGGGAGGAAGTTAAACACCATCTCTACCAATTTGGAGATTTTGTAGGTTTAACGATTATGACTAGCAAAAAAGGTGTTTGGCAGCAGAGATTCTATTTACATAACATGGAATACAGATTCAGGGTAGAATTTAATGGTTTATATGATGATGCAGTTGGTAGAGGTGGAGAATTTAATCAAATGAGAGCACGGCAGTTGGGGACCATGTCACCTTCCCACCTCAATCCTGATCCACCTCAGCAAAATCCACTGATGCCCTTTCCATCTTGCCACTAATTGAGGGCCTTAACCAGGCAATTAATGACCACTTAAAAGCCTCTTCATCACTTCTGATATTAATGCAGTGACAAGTGGGCTTCTTGCATATGGTATTGTTTCTGCGTTTCCAGGTGGGTCCCTGGTTTAAAAGCACTCAGTGCCTAATCGAGGGATCTGGTATCAACAAGAGGTTGCCAGTTCAAAGCCACCTCCCAAACTTGCTGCCAATCCTTTGATTCCATTCCACAACACCTCACCATCATTCACCATGTGGCCTGGAACACAGTGACAATACTTTGATCTTGGATAAATATCATACAATGGTAGCAATTACCTCTCAGTGCTGGCACTGCCATTTAATAGTCAGCAGCTCTCTTGGGCAAGACCTCTGTCCTCAATTCCTTGATCTGAGGAAAGGACCACAATTATTTGTCTGGCATTATACAGTGACCATTCCAAAAACAGAGGTGACATGGAGTTCTCAATAAATCTTGAACTGGCAGGTGAGTAGTCTGTCATCTCCACTAAATAATGTCATTAATGTCAAAAGACGAATAAAATACTTCACCCTCCACCAAATGTATCATAAGATACACCATTAATTTCTGTCCTGAATCTATATTTCATGTTACATAAACAGGAATCTCAGCTGCAAAAAAAGCCAATGGCAACTATTTTGTTACTCATCTTCATAATCAATAAACTTTATTTGGACCAACAATAAAGTCTTCAAATTGTTAAATTTGTTTAAATTTCTCCCAAAACCTAAAGGTTCCTTCTCAATTTTGGTTTTGTATTGTAAGAGAGTGAAAGGGACAAAATGTGAGTCATAGGCTTTTCAGAATGCTGTGTTTATGATAGGGTTGCAATCATATTCCAGCAATCTAACTTTAAAACATTGTGTAAAATACACATCTGTACAAAACAGCACAGGAACAGGCTCTTCAGCCCACTAGGGCAGCGTCAATTCCTAATCCCTATTTAGACCTACTACATATTGCCCATGTGTGTTATCTATCGCTCTGTTCACCTCACTTTCATGTGTCTACCAGGTTACGTCTTAGCCGTTGCTAACATGCCTGTTTCCTCCGCCTCCAGTGACAGTGCGTTCCAGGCACCCATCACCCTCTGTGTGAAAGTGTTTCCCTGCCCTTCTCTCCTAAACTTTCCCCCTCTCACCTTGAAACTGTGCCCTCTGGTAGTTGACCTTTCCACCCTGGGAAAAAGCCTCTGACTATCCACCCTATCCATGCCTTTCATAATTTCGTCAACTTCTATTAGGTTACCCCTCAGTCTCCATCTTTCCAGTGAAAACAATCCAAGTTTATCTCCTCATAACTAAAAGCCTCCAGACCAGGCAACATCCTGGATAACCTTCTCTGCACCGTCTCCAAAGCGTTCATGTCCTTCTAGCAGTATGGTGACCAGAACTGCATGCTATGTTCTAAATGTGGTCTAACTGAAGTTTTGTATAGCTGTAACATTACTTATCAACTTGTATTTTCGATGCCCCAGCCAATTAAAAACTGTATGCCTTCTTGACCATCTTATCCTCTTGTGTTGCAACTTGCAGGGATCTGTGGACCTGTACACCCAATTCCCTCTGTGTTTGTGGCATTTATTGTATAGTTCACACTTGAGTTTGATCTTCCAAAATGCATCACTTCACATTTGACCGGATTTTAAACTTCGTCTGCCATTTTTCTGTCCATGTCTACAATCTATCTACATCCCACTGTATCTTATAACAATCCTCCTCACTATCTGCAACTTCACCAATTTTAGTGTCATCGCAAACTTACTAATCAGACCAACTACATTTTCCTCCAGATCATTTATACATATATTTCAAACAACAAAAATACCAGCATTGATCCCTATGGAACACCACTAGTTACTGATCTCCATTCCGAAAAGCATGCTTCCGCTGCTACTCTCTGTCTTCTATGACCAAACCAGTTTTGTATCCATCTAGCCAAGTGACCCCAGATCCCATGAGACTCTACCTTCTGTACCAGCCTGCCATACGGTACTTTATCAAATGCCTTACTACTGTCCATATAGGCAACATCTACTGCCCTTCCTTCATCAATCATTCTTGTCACATCGTCAAAAACCTCAATCAAGCTGATGAGACATCCAAGGTCCACTCTTGTCCTTTTCCATAAGTATGCAAAACTTAGGGAATTACATTCAGTATTCCCTAAATGCTCCACCACTGAAACTTTGATCACCTGGCTGGTTCAGTTCCCAATATCAGGTCTTGTATGGCCCCCTCCCATATTGTTCTGGATACACTTAACAAATTACTCCCCATCCAAACCCCTGGCACTAAGGGAGTCCCAGTCAATATGGGAGAAGTTAAAATCACCCACCACAACAACCCTGTTATTTTCACATCTTTCCAGAATCTGACTACATTCCTCTTCCTCTATCTCCCTGGTCTGTAGTACAATCCCAGCATTGTTGTTGCATCCCTCCTATTCCTGAGCTGTATCCATAGAGCTTCACTGCAGTATTCCTCCAGGGTGTCCTCCGTCAACACAGCTGTGATATGCTGCCTAACTAGTAATGCAACTCGCCCCACCTCTTTTGCTTCCTTCTCTGTCTCATCTAAAACATTGATATCACAGAATGTAAAGCTGTTAATCCTGTCCTTCTTTCAATTATGTCTCTGTGATAGCAGCAACATCACAAATGCATGTATTAATTCAGGCTCTAAGTTCACCCATTTTATCTGTTGTACTTCTTGCATTAAAGCAAATACAGTCCAAGCCTCCAGTACTGCTGAGCTCAGCAACCTCTCCCTAACTGCTGTTCCCTTTAGTCATATTTGCCTTGGACTCAAGCTCTTCCCCAGTCTCGGTACTTACTAACCTGCTGCTCCGGTGCCTATCCCCCTGCCACACTAGTTTAAACCCTCCTGAGGTGCACTATCAAACTTCCCTGCTGAGATATTTGTACCCTCCAGTTTAGGTGCAACCCGTCTCTCTTGTACAGATCTCACCTTCCCAGAAGACATCCCAATGATCCACATATCTGAAGCCTTCACTCCTACACCATGTATGAAATGTCAGAACAATAAAGACAAAATATTATAGCCTTAAGAAATGGTTAACATTAATTCCCTCTAACAAGGAACAACGCCCAACCTGTAAAGATAAAATGCAGGGTATAGTTCAGTTGGAGAGAGAGAGAGAGCACGAGAGAAATGAGTGGGAGGTGTATTTTGGAAGGTAATTTCAGTAGCTATCTTTACACTTGCACACATTCATATTGCCTTGTTTCCAGCTCCTATTTGCATGTCTATTTGACCATGGCATCATGAGCTTGTTTCAAATTGTTAAAGTACTTTAGGCACATTTATTATTGAGATGCATAGTTATAATGCCATGGTACATTTTTTATTTGAACAAATAAATAATTAGTAATAAATGCAT